CAGATGAAACAGGGATGACAGAATGACTCTACTATTAAACTAGTAACAAATGCTTTAAACAAAGGCTCTGAAATGTACTGGCCCAGTTCCATGAAGGATATTCCAATCAGTTTTTAGGTTGTTCAACAATAAAAAATGCCCTCCAGAGTATTAAAATTATTTAAAATATATACACATGCAAACAACTCAGTTGCCAGTGTGATGTCACAAAGTAGATTCAATATACTACAGAATACAGAAAGACAGATGAGCTATTTGCTTATGTTTTAGCATACATTTCTATAGCAGACATGTAATTCAAATGTAACGGAAGAATCAAATAGAACACAATTAACATGTCATTAGACAATTAAAAATACATCACCAATAAAATAACAAAAAGGTAAATCTATGTGTTGTGTTGAACCTAACCCTACAACTACTACACTGGCAGAGACAGCAGAGACAGTGGCTTAAATCTATAAAGCTGAACTGCTCTGAGGCGCTTTTAAGAATGACTGTAGACCTAGGAGCATTTGGATTCAATGGTGCATTTACATGTTTCATAATAATTCACCTGCACCACTACTTGTGTTCTTGACTAAAAATCTATTTGGATAAAGCAAGAGAATCCAGTACTAATTATTGATAGGAAATGTCAGAGGTGTATGCTATTTTGCCAATGTAATAGACTTTTAACAATATATAACAATACTTGCTTATAGACATAAATCTTAATAAGATATCACAATTTAATAAGATAATACAAAAAGATTGATTTCTTAACGAAGATATAAAAATAATTATGAATCAATGTGAAATAAAACATATTTGTAATTCTTCAATACATTTTTATCACACATTCAAGTAAAAATTGTTTAGAAATACAAGATGGACACTTAAAATGGATTAAATATGGCCAAATCAGTCCCACACTTCTTACAATGTCACATTTGTAATTATTCTATTTATCCAGAGCTCTGTAACAACACAAGCTGAAATAGAAACATTGGGTGAAGAACACTGAAGGTGATATGAAAGAGAGAAGGAAAGAAACTAACTCAACAACATGCCAAAATTATGTTTTATTTTTATTGCTTTCAGACAGTTAATTTATGGTTAAGAGTCTCCTTGTAACATGACATTTTAGGGATAGCCATGGAAAAACCAAAATGGCATAACCTGGTTGAAGAGGACGTAAGAATTGAAATACTGCTGTGGGAGTTAATATTCTGCAAGCTCTAAGCTTGTGAGGATATTGTGCTCTGGTGACCACAAAATCACAAGCAAAGCTTTTGGAACTGCTAGCAGAGTCTTAGAGACCACCAATTCTCAGTAAAATGACTTCTCATATCATTGTAATGAGTGGAAATTTTAAAAGTAACCTGCATAAGAAAAGCAAACTTCACCCACCGTACCATGCCGGGTGATACCAACAAGACATTCACAAGGGCTTTTGCACACACAAAAAATGTACTGCACTATGAAAAAGTCCCACCTAGTTAAAACCAAATACAAAGAAAAAAAAAACAAACAGAACAGTCAAACATGAACTGCTACAAGGTATCCAGAATAGACTCCCCACAGTCTGGTAAAGAATAAGGTTAATGACAGTTATTTAGGTATTAGGCTGATAATTTAATTCTCACTGTATACAGTTCTTATTTAAATGCAATTCTTAGCTATCACCTGTTAATGTTTTACAGTATTTTTCCCCCTTTCTCTTCTGTATATGTTCCTTTCCATGGATTTAGTTATCACACAATATACATAGGATCACCTTTTTATCCCATCCTAAAGTCCTGATAACGTTCACTGTATTAAAAATATAGTATAGTCTAATTCTTCTCTGATGAGTGTCAGGAACAACATTGTAATTACAGTAACTCTTGAATCAAGGAATTTCTACTTTTACAGCACAGTTACAAACCACAGTTTCCCTCTTAAAACAACCTGCTACACCATACCATCTTATTAATTAAAGTGTTGCCCCTTTTGATAAATAGTGAACACTCGATGCCTAAAACTAGTTTCAAAAGTAATAAAACAATCCAGCATTCTTACCAATGAAGAAAGAGCTCGTGATTGAATTAAATTGAGAAGTGAAACATCTACAAAATTATTTTTCTTCTTTCTTTTCCGCAAAAAACAAACAAAAAAAACCAAACCCAAAATAGCTAGGATTTTTCAGCACTATTCAGCTTATCTTACTTTACTAATGGAGTTAAAGGCCTAGAAAGTTTTTGAAGTTTACACGCACATCAGTGCATGCATGAAGAATATCAGTCTCTGCCTCTGAACTTGCCAAAAGAAACAAGTCCTACAGCTCTCTGCATGTGTTTCATTGTGCTGTCCTGTCATACAGAAAGATCTGGGCTTAAATTTTTATGATCCTGTATGGAATAGCAAAAGAAATACATTAACTGCTCAGAAACATCCACTCTTGGTTTCACATCAAAGAAATTGAAACAGTTCACAATGCTGTCGTCCTAGAATAAGAAATAGCAATGATTACCAGACAGACAACTAGATACCAAATTGGATAAGGAAGCATGTGGAAAGTGGATATTTTACCATGAATTACCTTCCACTTACTTCCTCCATTTGGATGGATCAATAATAATATTGCTCATTGAGGTTTAATAAAAACTTTGGATGATAACAATGCCAAGTTGAGCGGTACAGGTAAGAACATACAATAGATTAAGAAATCTCTTTCACTATAACTTTGAGGCATTTGGCTGGTGGTTACTCTCAAAGACTGAGAAGCATCTGCTCTCGCTTTAGCAGTTTATATTCTGACTCCAGTGAATGGAAGGACAATCTCTGAAACACCCTTTGGGGAACACAGCTGAGCTGCTCGACAGAGCTCTTACTCGAAAAAGAGAGGAAGAGATTAACATGACAGAAAACTTGAAAGATCTAGCTTCTGAGAAGGGAGAGAAGAGCAGTTTCCTAACACTGTACATACCACAAATCTCTCTTTTACTAAAACATTAAAAACATGCCCTAGAACTAAAGTGATCATTAAATATGAATAGATATAAAGGTAGAAAATAAGGTCTATTTAAGTCATACTCAGGTTAAAGGAAGATGATATATTTTATCTCATTTGTCAACAGGCATAACAAAAGCAGAAGAATGAGGATTCGCATAAGACACTTTATTTTCCTAATGTGCCTGAGAAGGTCACAGCCTCCTGTGCTTGATCCTGGTGTGGCTAGGCACAGCAACACATGGTAAGACTGAGTTTCATCATGATCTTACAATGTCGTTATTTTAAGTGCCCAGTAGCACACACTACTAAATTTGTGTGGTCCCAGGCAATCAACAAATCTGGCCACACACAGTGAAAACCAAGCTTCTAAAACTTCAAAAATCAGCTGAAGGAATTCTCTTCTCAAGAGCCATAGATCCCAGATAGTAGCCACTAGTGAACCCCACAGACACTTTCAAAACTATAAAAGGCTTCATATAAAGACAAAATAAAGCTCTAAAAGTGGCTGCAGGAGATCACTAGGAGTGGCCGCTCTTTTGGATTCATTGCTTTTGAGAAGTAAATCCCTGCAGCTGCTTTTAAAAGCTTTGAAAGTTTCATTTCAATTATCAAAGCCAATAAAGCTTCAAAAACAGCCATAGGGATTTGCTCCTCAGAGGAGCAAACCCCAAAAGGCAGTGATGAATAGTGTGATGGGCTCTGCGGTTCTTAAAGTATGTACAGATTCCTGCAAGTCCTGCACTTGTAATTACAGCTCCATGTTGTGCAGCAATTGTTATGCCCAGACAGTTCATTAAGGATTATATGGCAAATTTATTACTGATTTCCCATTCTTTTTAACGGTCTCCATTTCCTTTTTGTTTTCTAACACCTGTATAATGCATTATACGAGCATCCTTCACAACACATTCTCAAACAAATTTCACAACAATCTTTCTGCCTTCCCATCTCAGCTGGCAATAAGCCACTTCACAAAATGTTGCACATATGCTTTCCCACGCTGTATCACACAATGTAATCGTCATATCATTTCAACATGATAACTAAAACATGCAGAATTTGTTTCACAGGATGGCTTCAACTAATTATAACACAAAAGCGAAGCTCAATAGCAGATTAATGAAGAAACTTGCTGTAACTGCAATATGAAAATGCTTTCATTAAATCAGTGAACATAAACGCAATATTTCAGAAATACCCTTCAAATCTTAAAACCCTAAAAACTTTAAAACCACGAGGACAACGATTCCCTACAGATTTTCACAAATTTATGAAAGTTCTTAAAAAAAAAACCAAAAGCTTCTATACACTTGGAGCTCTGTATCTTAAGACTTTGATGTACCTGAAAACATTATCAAAAATTATGGTGAAAAGATACATTTAGGTAACAGACGATATACAATATATTAATTTCGTATGTAAAATAAAATACATAAAGAGCATGCCTAATAACCTTAAAGCATCACTAATTTTGACTAATTATTTTATCTACTGAAATTTATAACATTCATTTTCAAATGACAGAATAAATAAATAAACCTTTTGGAAAAATACTACAAGAAAATCACTGTGAATTTAAATATATGCAAGCGTTAAGAACTGAATTATTGGTTTGCATGAGGAAAAAAAACTTTGACAGGTAACTTCAGCAATCTGTTACATCTTATTCACAGGTGTCCTCTGTGACCTGAACTACTTAATTTACCTCTCTGTTTCAACATTCTCATGTGTAAAACATGAAGAAGGATTGTGAGAAATAATTAATGTTTGCAAAGAGCTTTGAGATCCTTGGATATAAAAAACATGCGGAAAGTATGAAATATGAAAGGACCTATACAACATTTTTTCCCATTTGATATAGCTCAGCTACTTCTATCACAAAAACCTTGAAAGTTCAAGAATACAAGATTATGTAATAAAAGGCATAAGCTCTCTTATTTATAACAATCTTAAGTGCTAAGCATATTCTGTTACTCAGAACTATATAATGAAAAATACCAAAAAGAGAGGACATGTTTCTCACCCATTTCAAGTATGCGTTTATGTAGAGGTATAGCAGCAAGAAAGGGTTCATCTTTACACGACTGTATCTGAGTTCCAACCAAGTCAGAGTTGGTAGCCATAATTCGGGCACTTTCTTCATTTAGATTAACACCAGCCATAGAGGCAACATCATTGATGTCATCATCATCTCTATAATGAAAATACAAATAAAAAATAATTCTGCATTTGAAACACTCAGTTAAATACACACTAACTCCAGAGCATGCAATAGGCTTGCTGTCTGGGCCAACTTACGTCACAACTATCACAGTCCCAATTCTCACATGTCATATTCTAGATTCAGAATTAACTATTTCTTGATCACATTCAGAAGTCCCCACAAGCAGGGCCATTTGCCTGGAGTGATGGAGGTGCCTTTTCTTCATTTGGGAGTAACAACAGTGAATTCACAGGTAAGTTTGGTTTCCAAGCATCATTTAACTGTACAATACTATTTTCCCTAGCAACATACAAAAACAGTTGAACACGTCATCTAGTTTTAGAAAAATGAGCTGTGTTTCAGATGATGATAGCAGCATTTCCCAAGCCACTGTTTGCTCTGCAATACCCTTCCTAACATCTTGACAAAGGACTAACTGACAAATGTGTGTTTCAGAAGACAGATCATACCGGTATCTCCCAAGCATCTGTTATGGCCTACCTCTATAAGAGATGGCTCATAACTGTGGAAACAAACCATCTGCTTTCAGCACTTTCTGTTTAGGAGCTATTTGTGACACAGACACTGTATTTGAGTGTATTCTAGGAATGACTACACAACTGTTGAGAATACAGATTTGGAAAAAATCCATATACATCCAACTTCAGATTTCTACTGCGTAAAACAAGCAAAAGTTTAATTTAGAAGATTTATATAAAAACATACATACGTGGCCCTCTACATGCACTGGAATACTTAGTTTCACCTGCTAAAACATCTCATGCCACAGTAAAAACCAAAAATACAAGTAAGGATTAAGAACAAAAGTAACAAGAGGAATCTAGAAATCCATGTCTTCCCTGTTCCCCCCCCATATTCTTCTAGATATCTACCTCAGAGTATCCAATTTTCTTGGAAGACTTTGACAGTTTAAGATATTGGTTTTGCTTTCTTTCAAAGGAAGAAGGGATTTTTGCCTGTATAAGCCTGGAGAAACATGCTGAATACCTGAGGCTTAAAATGGCAAATTTTGCAATGATTGTCAGAAAAAGTTTGTTACTCGCACAAGTCAGCTTTTGTTGTTTTCCACAACCGCTAAGAACTTCATTTCTTCTCCAAAGTGAAATTCCTGAGGATACTGTCACTTTTCACAGGTTTTTGTGTTGGTTTTTTTTTTCTTTTTTTGGTCTTCTTAAACTTCTACTTTGATTATCCTGAGATTCCAAGTTTCACCTTTTCTTTTTGGTAGGCAGTATCAGAAAGGCGATTCTTTTTTTTAATTTGAGCACAAAATAGGAATTCACAGAAATCATGAAAATCAGCACAACAGCACTTACAAAGAAGACTACCAACGTAACTCCTGGACAGAATTATTTCCGGTCAACTTACATCAGTAATTTACTACCACCAAGTACATTTGTTTTTATTTTGCATAAGAAAGAAGATAGATGTTAAATATTTTCATTAATCATCATTAGCACTACAGATTTTCCAGTCCGAGGGTGAAATTTCTATCAATATCCTCTTTTACTTTGAGGAACTGCAACACAAAAGAGAACTTGGTTTCGGATACTGACATAAGCACGTTTGTATACAAAAGAGGGCTTGCGTCTTTGCCATACCATTTCCTAAAAAAGTCAACTATCTAACTCTACGTGTCTTCAAAAGTCATTCTGTGGAACAAAGATGCCATCCAGTGGTTGACTAAATTGATGATTACTGTCTATCTTTACTTATTCATCCAGCACGTTATTTAACAATTTCATGTTTCCTGGTAGAAATGACTGTGCTTATATTAATTACTTCCGGCTTCACTGAGCTAAAATCTGAGCCTTATTAGATAAATCTAACATCCCAATATGCACACTATTTTTAAGTAGGCAGCATGGGTTTTCAAGCTGTTTTCAAATGCAAGGTACATTTCCTCATCCTATATTTAACCTTTTTCAACACCTCCTTTCCCCCTCTTATTGATGAAAAAAACTCACCAACTACAAAGAGCACCTCCTTGAAAATAATGTTCAGAAAAAATGAAGCATTTGCACAGTTTTCTAAAACATACTTCAAAGATTTTGTTTAAATTAAGACATTAAGAAAATCTGGAGGCATTTTACTTATGAATAAATCTTCAATGTGTAAGTGCATAGTAATACTTTTCCTCACACACTTTGAGCTCATGATGTCCTAATCTCCAATACTGAACTATTCTCAAATAAGTTACGTAAAATAATATAAAATACCACCTAAAACAGTTGAGATAGCATATGCCACTGATTCCTCACTTTTTCCAAAGTAAAATTTCATGTTTTTATAGCAGTCCATGCACATACGCAAAACACTAAGTCTACATATTAGTTGAGCAGAGATCAGCTACAACACTGGATAGAACCTGTCACTTGAAATTACAGCAACAGCCACTACTGTATTACATTTTAAAATAGCATCACCTTCACTGATGCAAATTCTATTATAATGCTTATTCTGACTGTCATAGGTTTTTGAGATTCATCCCTATCAGTGCTTTATCATACAATCCATCCATGAAGTCTATGTTGGATTTTACCAGTGACAAGAAAAAAAGGATGACAAAACATTAAATTTGCAATCAGCACTTTATTTTTTACAAATGTGGAAAAAATACAAGCTCATCTCAGAGCCTGAAACGTTGATCTGAAAAAAAAAAAACCTTAAAATTACAGCTTAAGTATACCATTCTGAGGTGAAGTTATCCATTTAACACTGCATTAGCTTTCTTGCTTTCCCAAAACAGCACACTGCTTGGTGTTTTATCAGATATATCATCAAGCATTTTGAGGTATTTTGCCAAAATTAGGTTATTAAACTTTTATTTAAATAAAGAGGCAAAAAGAGACTTATCTGATTCAGAATGCATGTCTTCTAGGCAGATGAAAGAAGACTGAAATACAGTTGATTATTTATTCCAGGGTATACTCTATTTTAAAACATGGCCACTCAGCAATATAAAATCTAAGTACAAAGATAAGGTTCAAATAGTACCAGTTATTTCATGGCATGAATTCTCAAAACAAAAAAACAAAAAAAAACAAAAAAAAACAAAAAAACCCCCACATCACTGAGGTTGCAGAGGTAACTATGGGCTCCAAAAGGTCATATACAACTTCATATTACTGCCTCAGAAATAGTAAGGTTCCTGTGAAAAAGAAGGAGCATCAGCCTAACTGGCACACTCAGGTAAATGATCATCGTCACACACATTAAAGGAATGGTTCTGCCCACCTCTTGCTCAATTTTAAGTACAATGCCTCTGAGCTTTACTCAGTTCTGTTAGGAAGCGATAGGGCAATTCCGGAGTACAAATGCTTACCTCTGTCCTTGCAGACAGGCAGAACTGGGCAAGTTCCTGGTGTAACAAAACTGCTCTGACTCAGAAGCTGGAGTAGCTGACCACCCAAAATCCCTTCCCACTAAAATGATTTTGACTTAATTTCAAGGGAAACAAATGCTTCCACTTTTTCTCTATATTGGCCACAGTCTAAACTGCAGGTAATAACTACTTCAAGAGCATGCTATTTTCATTTCATTTTTTTTTTTTCTGTATTTCTTTCATTTCATTTTTTCTGTAGTATGTAACATTGGTGGAAGCTCTAATGTTTCTAAATGAGACTGGTGATGCACACAGCAGCTGCAGCACAACATGTAGGCCCCCATGCAGACTTCAAGAAGCCATCTCCTCCATTTCTCCTCTACTTTCACTTTATTATGGTACAAATATAAGACTGGATATTTACTATAAAAGAAAAAAATATTACAAAGAATGAAATTCTAATTTCCATTCATTTATGTAGTAGAAAAGTCAACTAAATTGAACGGTCTGTATTTTCTACTTAAAAATGTAGAAACAATAAATTTTAATATCAAAAAAGGTGACGTAAAATTTCAGATTTACATCATCTTTGAAGCGCAGAAGCCTCAGGGCTCAAGATTGTACGTCATAGAGCAGCTACCACAATATCTGGTGAACTTGTGTAAGCAGACATACAATTAATTAATCAATGCTGACATTAGAGGTTAAGCTGTAATTTGTGACATTTCTAATTGCTACATCTCTCTGTAATTCCTTCCACTGTTTCCCAGTCTAGAACAATACCATAAGTTTAAGAATGTATGACTACAAGAAACCAAAAATAGCCGAGTTCATATTTCCATTTCTAGTGACCAACACCTTCCTCACAAGAGTAAAAATAAAGAAGTAGAATATAGAATAATGAAACAAATATGCAATAATGAAACACTAAGGGCAAAATAAATTTATACATAACACAACTATTTTTCAAAATTCTTGCTTTGCTTTAGATGCCAGTTTGCCTTCTGGCTAAAAACACATTCTTCACACACGCTGGGAATGTTGAGAAAAACTAGTCAGCATTCAGAGGATTAATACAGATCTCCAGCTCTGTGCCTTTAGGCTTAATAGTCAGACATCTATTTGTCCTGAGGAGAGGTTAGGGGTTGAAATGCAAATATGCAAACAACTGAATTCTTTGTTAAGATATCAAGGAAAAGCTTGATCTTTGCCGCTGTTTAATAAATCCCTGCAATTTTATGGACTTATTTAAATGCAGTATTGTGTCTTACTATTTGAAGGAGAAAACAATGCAAGGAAACAAACACATTCATTCTGACTAAAATTTGTTCTCTAGAGGAAAAATGACATACACCCTTGACAGCTTATTTACCAAACTCACTAAAGATTTATTGATTTATCAATCAGTGCCTTGAGCATTTGCTTCTCCCCAAGGGAAAATTAACAATTCCAACTAACCTAATATATTCTATGTATAAACTAAGTGAATGCAAGAATCAATCCTGGCACAGTTTACAACATCCAGTTAAAAAAAAAAAATGCTGTCCCTTTTGGTGTATGTAAAATTGAAAGCTATACTAACGAAGAATAAATGCTCATGTTGCTTACAAACATAAAAAATACTTATTAAGACAGTACAATTGAACCCATAAGACATTTTAAATCATTTAAATACTCAGTGGGAGGCAAAAGCATTGGAAAATAAAAAATTGAATGATTTTGCTTCTAGATTAATACTAAGTACTACTATTATTAGTTGCAATACTGACATGCCTCAAAGCAGAGATATTTCACTAAGAGCTACAAAATCTCTTCTATTGCACCTGAAAAAGTCTAAGCCTGCAAAATTAATTACTGGTTTCATGACATCAGAGAGCAGCACACGAATTCCTGGATTTTCATTTCCTTCTGGATTATTTTGTCATTTAGCAAAGAAACAGGAAGAAGAAACTGCTCAACCATTACATGCACATTAAACGTACTCCCATCAGCAGGAAAAAAAAAAAAGACAGAAATCAAAATGCAATAAATGGAAGACCAGTTTTTCACTACAAACAGCTAACATACCCAAAACACACATAAAAAAAAAAACAAAAAAACAACCAACCAAACAGGAGTTTGCAGTATGAAAGAATTGCAAATAGCAGCTCAACGCACCAGTGCTCCTGCGCCGAACTTTGCAGCACCAGATTACTATAGAAACTCACAGAATACCGTAATCTGCCACAAAAGTAGGCACATGAAGAAAAGATAAAGCAGTGTTTTCTTTTCTCTTAAAAGTACACATACACATAGAAAACACACTAGTAAGAACAAACAGTGTTTGCAGGCTGCTTATGTGGAGATGGCTGCAGCTTAGCAGTCATCTATCAACAGGATGCCTTGTCATTACAATTAGCATCTTCTCAGCAAGATTTATTCCATATGAACATTCAAATCTCATACATAAAAGCAGTAGTGTATTTTTTAAAGCTTCATATGCACAGTTCCATTTGCCAGAATTTTTACTGAAATGCACAGAAGTGAAGGCTTTATTAAACAATCTGAAGCGTATTTAGAAAAAAATTTTCAAGACATGTCCCACCACTCCTTTTTTTTCTTCTCCCAATACAACTAAGTAAGAAAATTATCATCCAATCACAGTCAGAAAGCCAGAAATTATTGTAAAACACTGCCCTCTGGTGTTAAACCAATTCTGAATTTTATTTAAGACCCCCCCTCCAGCCACCCTCCTGCAATCTTTTTTTTTTTTTTTTTTTTTTTACCTGAAAGAACCACCTCCAGGGTCATTCAGCTTGTTTTTCTGATTTGCAGAGACCTGAACACCAAAGCCCCCAGGACTTTTGCTGGCTTGTATTGTTGGTGCCTTCCCTACTGTGCCTGAAAAACACCAAGCGATGTTATTATGAGCTGTCTTAGACAATTTACATCAAAGAACCTTCTGTCCAGGAACTAAATTTAACTGTCTGTAAATTGCAAACAAAGGAAGTTATTATTTTTAAAGATTACACTGCTGAAGAAGAACAATTTTAGACAAAATTTATATTAACATTACAGTTTGTTCTATATTTACAGAATACTGAAGATTCTCCATACATGAAAACCGTTGGCCAATGTTGGTTATAACACACACAAAGGTTATGTGTCTGCAATTGCCAGTGAACCATATTTCTTTATATTCTGCACAATATATAGAAACATAATTTCAAATGTTCTTAATATAGATGTATTAAGTCAGCCACTCCAGGTATTAACTATGCCTTTTACATTTTCTTACAGTCATTTTTGATGTGTTGCTGAGTTCAAAATGTTACTTTAAGTATTTTTAGATATTTATACTGTACGTAAAAGAGCCCAAACCATTTTAAAATTTGACATACCCTCCCTCGTAAAGGTTTTGTTTTACTTTCTTATTTTGAAAATGCTTTTATAAGTAATATACATCTGCTTCTAGATTTTATAAGACTCTCCATACAAAAAATGGGATTTCTAACTGAGCCAAATTGTGGTGTACATTCAGCTTGTTGTGCAACCAAATTAAAAAAGATATTAATTCCTGCATGACATTTGGAAAATCTAATAAAAAATAAGTTTATGTTGCTAATTGGTAAATCAATGAGCATAATTATTAACTGTCACTAGAAAAGATCGAAACAGCATTTGACTCAAAAAGTACTGAAAATGAAAAAGACTTACTATGTCTTCTTTAATATTTAAGATTTTAATACATGCTTAGCTCAGTTATATTTTGCCCATTTCTCTTAACCCTACTTCTATGTTGGCATGTGAAAGTAATTAAGTCATGTGCTTACTTGACTTAAAGAGACTTTTTTTTTTTTTTTTAATATCATTCAATTGTATTGAGTTACAAACTGTAGTATTTAAGACTGAGAAGTACATGAAAGTTCTTCCTGCACATCTGTGGATCAACTGCCTAAAAACGGCATGGTACGAGCCTTAGCAGAAATAAGCTATTCTTCATTGATGAATTCTAAAAACCACAGAAATTCTGAAATCACATCTATCACAATAAATCCTTTAAAACACTTCTTAGCTGAAACACTAGCTGTACATGAGCCCTGCATTCCTTTTTTTCTTTGCAAGTCTTCATCTAGGGTAATATATGCTCTGAGAACAAAACTTAATTGACAGTGTTCATTCAGTCATTCAGTCAAGATAAAAATATTTTTGCTTGAACCCTCAACATTAGCAAATACAAAACAAGATTCATGACTTTGAGTTCTAAGCCTGGGGAATAAAACTACTTTGTCATCAGAAAACGTAAGGTCTGTGAGATGTCACAGATAGCATCATTTCACGGCCTGGTCCATTTATCTATTTCAGATTAACTGATTGAAAGGGTTTTACTAAGTGAATTGAAAGGAAAGAAATTATATAACAATAAAAATGAGCAATCTCTGCTTTCAGCAGCAAGTTTTGAGGAAATTGAAGCGTGTTAGCCTTGAAAATTACTGTAATGGCTGAAGTAAGGGAACAGGGGTACTTCTCCAGAATAAACACTATATTCCTTTGTGGCTAATATCAGCATTTTCTTTTCCACAGATGATAAGTTTTGACACCAAAAATTAAGGAAAACATACAACAACAGAGCAGTTAACTTGTTGGTTGGAGGAGAATTATACATCTGCATTGGAAATTTTAAAAATGTCTCATTTTCTTTCATCCTATTACACAATTTTGCTCAGATGGATCTGACAAAATTAATGTAAGTTTGGGGGTGACACATAAACCTTACAGTTTAAACCACAACAGAATGTGATTAAGGAGTTAGACTACAGTTATGGCTCAACTAACAATTTACACTATGGCGTATGGAAAATTAAAATCACCTGTGGGTCTAAATTTTTCATGAGATTGGTAATGACATACAGAGTCCATCAACACTGTATCCTTGCTTCAGATTGCAAGTAGCATGATTCTGAGAAATAAGCCCACATTTTGGAACTCTTAAGTTTCTGGCTCTGTCTTTGCCTAGGTTAAATAGCTGCAATGAATGCTATGGCTAATTACTTCACTCTGGTTCCATTCCTCCATCTGAAAGATTCAATTCACAGATATTTTGTACTGATAACTGTTTTGATAAAAGAGTGTGACTTTTTCCTTAAATAATAATAATGTTACTTCCCCGAGTGCGGATGCCATTTACTAATACAACAGTTACTAGAGTCTGCCATCTACCTATAGTATAGTTTTGAAAGCATTACAGTTTGTTCACATGGATGCTTTAATATTAACATAAAACGCAGCACTCTGTGGAAGTCAGATCAATTCTGACATAACCATCCTTGAAAAATAATCACTCTCCACAAAATTTTACTACTGTAATTTTCTAAACCAGACAATGTTCTATTCAAGTATCTTACCTTTTTCTATGGGAATAGTTAAACCAGCATAAAACACAATTAAACTGGTGTTTACATTAGAAAATTTTAACAATACATCACAATCAAAATGTATAGTTATCTGGCAGTATGCCATAGGCATTTCTTAGAGCTGTGAACACACAGGCAGATTTTTCCCCAGACATGGGCTGCAGAATATATAGTCTTCACAATGGGACATCTTTTAAATTTCCGTTCTGAATGCTTTGTATGCGTAAGTAAAACAATGTAGTGGTAGGCTTAAAAACAGGCTCGTAAATAGGAATAAGCTCACTTGGAAGTGCAGCTTCACATGAATGGGCCTTTGTGAATTTTTGTCTTCCTTAACCCAAACTGCCAGTTGAGTTGTATTTCACTGGCCAGTCAATGGCTATCATGAATAAATTTGTGAGCTGAATTCACTGTTTGTGGTGATGCTGATACTACGCAAATTTTTCACGTACTGCTCTCATTCACAACTTAAGAGACAGTATACTAAGAATAGAAATGAAATCAGTCTTCACTCTCAGACATTAGTCAGAAGTGAAAGTGTACACTCTAAGACACTAAATACTCTGTTAATAAACTCAGGACGTGAGTGCCAGTGCTATCAAGTAAATGCCTTTTATGACAAGTAAATGCGTATCTTTCTAACCTGGAAAAACAGCCTACAAAAGGAATACACTGACAGCTTGGTCTCCTTGTCCATTCACTGTGAAGTGAACAAGAAATCAACTGCTACTGTGTGCCGTTTTTTGGTTTTTTTTTTTAATGTTTCCTTTTCCCAAAATGAGAAAAATGAAACAAATCTAAACAGGCAGCAATAGCTTCCATGTGCACTTAAGTTTGGTTGCTGTTTCATATCCCAAGATGATAAACTCTGTATTCCATTACAAATCCTCAATCATCTAAATCCCCATATCCAAAACGATACTCTTCCATGTAATTATACACCAAAGCTAAAAGGCCTAGTGGTAGAAAGGAACAAAAGGAGATTTATTAAGAAAAGAAGGGTTTAAAAACCCGCTTAAGAAGTGGGATGCATCAGCCAGACATCCACCCACCTGTGCACAAACCTGTCAGAAAGTTGTGTATACCACCAGACCTCTTTCTCCCCTGGCATGTCAGGTTGCTGCAAACTATCTCTGACCTCACCAAACAGTAAGCATACTGGCAGAAAAAAATCGTGTGAGTTGAGAAATTTCTCAAGCTCCTATCTTGATCTCTGGAGCTATAATGTTCTGCTTCAAGAGCAAGAGTTAAAGTGGGATGATTAAATTGAGGAATTCTAGAAGCTTCAGGAAAAACAAAGCATTTCTTTCTTGGCCCAAAACTACAGTGTGCAATAGTAAAAGTCAAGTTCCTTACAGCTGAGTAAGGAACTAAGCATGTGCAAGCTGAGTTCTAAGGTAACTCCAAAACATTTAATTGTGTAGGTCTGAAATGTTCAAACTGCAGTGAAAACATGCACTCCTCAGCCAGTATGAAGTAAAAAAAAAAAAGTCAAGCCTGCTAACGTCAGCACTGTAAGTTTTTCCCATGCTACTAGTTCGTAATTACAATAAAATTCATACACAGGTAACAATCTCACTAAAACATTTAAACCCATACCTTGTGGTCTAATGGTCTGAGTTATTACCACTGGCATCCTAATCTGGGTAGTCTGGCAAGCAGGGTTTCGTTTCACAGTTTGAGCAGATGTTGACTGGATAATCTGCTATTATTAAAAAAAAGTATACTTATATTATACTCTTTATACACAAACACACACAACGTAAACATACTAACACCTGCAGTTACTAATATAAGCATATGGATCTCTACAAGCACAACCAGCTAGTGACAAAAGTCATAGTCATGTAACGCATGTGGTTGTGTGTGTGTGTATATATACATATTTTGCTGTTATGTTAAAAAAGAAAATAATATTTGACACAAATGTCACAACCTTCATAAAAATGTGAGGTAAACATCAAAGTTCAGACTTTTGTCTTCACAAACTTTACTAGCAAGAAAAGTATTTGCAGAAGAAAACTGCAATAATTTTATTGGTATACATCTACAGCAGTTAGGTCTCTCACTATAAACCCATGCTTTTTAAAGAAAATACATACTAAAAGTAAAATCCAAAATATTACGTTCCAAAGTCAGATGTACACAAGAAGGGAAAGTAATGTTTTGGGATTATTATTTATCTTTTCAATTTTAACTGGATGTTCTCGTGGTTTTGTTTACTGAAATTCTGAGGTCCTGACCCAAAACAGAAACTGGGTCAGGAACTTAGAATTCAGCTCACATATGAATTGAAACAAAAAATAAAATAATAATTAAAAAAACCAAACAAACCACTGCAAGGGTCATTTCTAAGGATAGCTAAAAGAAATCAGGGACAAGGTATACATAGACATAATGAACAAAAGATTCAATGACACACATGGATGCTGCAGAGAGGGAAAATAAATCCATAAACAAACTTTGAAAACAAAACACAGGCAGATAGCTGCAAATAAATTACAACCACAAAAACCTTGGAAGTCATGTGCTCTTCACAGCCACTACTATGTTAGTTCCACAGCATAATACATCCAATTTCTGAATTACAAGTCACTGTCTTCCACCATTATTACCTCCAAGAAGACAATATGCAATGTCATGCACCACTACACGAAGTGAACAGGAAAAAATGCATCTTTATTTAGCATCTCTAGATGTTACTCTTATAAAGTATATGCAAATACAGTATTTAGGTGAACAATGAAAGACTAAATCTCTGACTTCAAAGTATGCTACGGAGAAAAGGGAAAGTATATACACATATATACACAGATATGCATATATATACACACATTTTCAAATGAGATGTAAAAGTAGAGAATAAAATGAGCTGGGGAACAGACAGGCCGTTCCATCAACGGGAACCAGGGCTGCCAAATCAAGAGGTGAAAAATACAAACAGGAGAGGAGAGTAGAGCAGGAACAAGAATTTTAATACAATCTAGAGAAAAAACAAATAGGGGCATTTTCAATTAAGGAAATTGCATTCTGTACACCCTAAAATATTAAAAGCTGTGAGATCATAATAAACCTGCAGATGTAGAAGTATTAAAAATTTCTAGCTTGCAGAAAGAGAAAGGGGAAAAAACAGTTTCAACTGTAGACACTGAAGGAAAAGCAAGCATTTGGAGTAAGCACAGAAATGGAGCAAGTAGACATAAACCTACTAGGTCAAGACAGGCAGTGAGTAAATAACAGCACGCAGAATAAAGGAGCTACCAAGTTTCAAACTAGAGAAAAATATAGGCAGTAATTGAAAAAGAGGGAGAAAGTTTAATTAAACTCCATTTTCAGGCACAAAAATTTCCACATACAAGTATATTTTCATAAGGAGACATAACAGACCAGAAGCAAAAAACTGGTATTTTATAGAAAAGGAGAGTGTCACCACTTCTACAGTGATTTCTTTTATTAGATGAGTCTTCAGAGAATAGTGAAGGAAAGCAGCCATACCTTAATTGGCCAAAAGTCAGGCCAAAAAGGAAATGTGTGTGACCTGTGGATAGAAGTATCATCCAGTATTACGATCATCTGTTACTAAATTCTCTTTCTGTGAAGCAAGCAACCTCTAGAATTCAAGATCAAATTCTGCTTCATTTGATTAATATTTTCACGCAAGTACTCTACAAAGTGGGTCAATTAACACTATTAAAGACAGGCTAGTATTTAACATTTAAGATTATGTAAATAATGACATCTTTACTATTAAAAAAAACTAATGAATATATTTTGAATGTATTAACAAGTATTATTCTAGGATCTCAGCATACATAAAAGTGCTGAAAGAATAGAAAATGACTGAGAAATAAACTTTTCCACGGGGCGCAGATCAAACTCCACATCTTCAGCTCTATATTGAACCTGGTCAGCAGCAACACATTCTCTAAAAGGAAGAACTGCACTTGAACTCAGAGCTTAGATTTCAGTTTCTATATGGTTTTATGATATATTTCAACGCAGATGTGATCTTCAAATCTGGCAGCAGTTAAGGAACAAACATTACCAATTTGTTTTTGAAACAGAATGTGCAACTTTCTTTCCAGACAAATATAAACAAAGAACATGGTAAAAACTGATGAATCAGAGGTAGATTACACTGCGTGAAAATTTACAAACAATCTAAACCAGTCTTCAATTACACTAATTTAAATTGTTCTAATCCTCTTGCCTATTTTCCCCACAGCGTAAACATTATTGTTTCGTCCAGAATTTGGCCTGGAAAATGTAAGCAATGAACAGGGTGCTGGCATGATAATCTAGGAGATGATTTACTTCACCAATTTTACGTTTCTCACAGCCTAAAAATATGAACATACCACATCTAACATTACTGATTCATGTGCTGAATCAGTTCACAAGCACCAACATCTTAAACTAGACTGATTCAGAAAATAGAGAAGTGGGTGTTCTTAGTAAACTGAGGTTATCAGAGATGGTACTTCATGTTTAGCAGAAGGGGAGCTCTTACTGCTGTCTCCAGCTACCTAATGGGAAGATGTTCAGAAGACTCTTTTGGTTAGAATACAGGCCAAGAAAGAAATGAACCAAAGCACATAAAAATGGATTGAAGTAGAAAGATGGCAACTTCTGTTTCCCTTCTATCTACATGAGACATTCCAAACAAAAATGAATGCTAGTACATGCAAACCATTAAAAAGAAAATTCCTTTGAGACAATGGATTACAGCTCACAATTAAAGGTTTCAAGGAAAGGAATTCTGCAGATTTCAACAATCCAGGTGCTTCTCTGCAGATGCATAGGGTCACAATGACCTGCAGCCTGTATCTGGACTGGAAGTGCAAAATTAATCTCATCTCATTCACACAAAACAACACTTTGCAACAGAAGCATCTGATCCAAAAGCATAAGCATACAATATAGCAATAAAAACTAACAACAAAGGAAACAGAAGCCTCTGCAAAGAATTGAACAAAAGTAAATTTCAAAAATAAGTTTTATACTGAGCATTTTTTCTCTCAATTAAAATTAATATTGATTAAATTTTTTTTTTAAAAAAAAGTACTGTGGAAGGAAGAACCAAGTAAGCTACTTGTTCAAAACGCAGAATGGCTATGGACTGATATGACATACATCTTCACTCATGAGTAAACACTTGCTAACTCACTTGTGGCTATGCCACTTGTGATTTATCAGTCTCCTCGCTCCTGAAGATAAATGTCATATCAAACCTCAGCTATCATGTAATCTGGCAGCATTAACTTAGAATGTTCATGCTTTCATGGGCCTAGAATTCATACTTACCATTACTGAACATGCTGTAATAGTAAAAGAATTTCTCAACAATGCCTCAAAATTTACATACACGATTACTGTTTTCCTCCCAGACAAAAAAAAGAAAAATTCACTTTTTGAAGGAGCACATAATTTTTAATGTTAAGATGACAATGCTGCTCCAGTGAATTTTCAAATAAGCAACGAAGTAAATAAAAACAAATGACACTGGAACACTTGTCCCACCTGCCCCCCAGTGTAGGAGGGCTATTCTGAAAGTAATGTTGGCCCACGATGGCAGAGGTAGATGTTGGTGTGGCAGTAATTGTTGAGCCTTTCTGCCAATATTGAATTCCTCCATGAAGAAAAAATGTCATCCACCAACACTCATTGACATTTGCTGAACATTTATGGGGCCCAAACAGAGGATGTGAGCACAGTGAGGTGGTGGGTGGTGCATTTCAGTAGTGGCAACAGTGACAGTGAGTCACCTCCACTGGTGCAGATCTCTAAAAGCACAGCATGCAGGCTCTTGATCACTGCTGGTGAAAAACACACAGCTGATGACGGTGACAACATCAAACAAATAATGTAGATGAGAATTTGCTATAACATTGTTACTGTGCTCTTAGTATCTGTTACAGTTTCTGTGGAAATAAATAGCAGCCACTACTTTAAGAGCAACCTACTAAAAAGTCACTAAGCTGTATTTCAAGCAGGCACACAACTTTCCAACTATAGGTTTTGTTCCTACTGAAAGATCACACATTTTTATATAAATTTTCTCGTACACCAAACTCAAAACTTGCAGCTAGGTATTTATTAGTTCATTAATATAAACTACTTCTACCCGAATAGACATCTTCTATTCTTCCATTTCTAAGATGCCTTGTATACAAGACCAGAACAAAATCATTTCCTGTGAGCACTGAGAAGTGTACGAATTACACTCATTTAGAACCAGAACTGATGATAGGAAGGCTTCAGCAGAGATTTAAAACAAAGTACAGCATCCCCACATACCAGGATGCTTATTCTGCCACTGTATTTTATTTGTATACTCAGTTGCTCTCTCTTATCTTCTAGAAGAGTCCAACTAGACCTGCGTAGTCTCTGTTACTTTACATAATTAGATTATGTAATTAAATTTGTTTTAATTAAGAAGAAACACTTCAAATTTCTTTCAGTTTTTTTATCATATAAGTTTAGTAAGTGGCTTCAACCTCCAGAATACTTCTTATAACATAGTAGCAGCACAACACGTAAGGTGCAAATCGAACTCCATTATTCAATCTACTTACAGCTTCAACACTTAAAAATAATCTCTATCATTCACAGAAATCAGAAAAACACCTAGAATAAGATAGGCAACGTCTCCATATATCAGCATATAAAGAGCTTTTGCCTACTAAGGATACAATTTAGACAAACTTTGAACATTGCACTTAGAACAATTACAAAAATTGATTGCTAGCTTATCTCGTTAGTGCCTCATTAATAAAATATTAGCCCAAGACTTATCCACATTTCCCCAGCTAGCAGTAGCTACTATTTCTAATAGAATTATCTATCTCTTACAGAACTCTGATTTGTCATAGTTTTAGAAAAGGATGCACACCTTAAAAATAGAAAAATATAATCCCCTCATTCATCTGTGTCAGCACTATAGATTTTAATGATTAAGTCTCCTTTGGTGCAACCTACATTGCAAACTGAGCAGTATACAGAGAAGTCTCTAGTTGTGAGAAACCACAGTATATCAGAGAGAAGTATCACCACATTAGAAGAGCCACAAGCTGCGTGAACTAGCCCTATGGACAGAACTTACCTACAACAGGAAGTGAAGATGACTGTGATTTAACATCTCAGCATCTTGCACAGTACTAGGCTCACTATATGTATAGCAAATCAGGACAGTACCAGCTCGCACATCTTAGCCACATTGCTGAGTTGTACGGACATGCTCTTTGTCTTACACTAACTTCTATCTAAATTATCAGCAGGGATGTTTCGTTAGCGATGAATAACAACATGTGAAGACAATGCAGCTTTACCTTCAAATGCCTCAATCCTGCTGGAACACCTTCTTAGACAATTCATATTGTTTTTCTGGAAATAATAAAATTCTGCTTTCCCATCAATTTAATGTTTTTTGTTTTAAAACAGCAGAATCTTACAAAAACAAATCAGATTAACTTCCGAATGAGCTTTCCAAAAACACTAAGAGATGGACTATCTTGATCACTACTAAATGCAGAGGGACAGTTTTTCACTGACTTTAAAGAACATCATTTACCTAAGATAATGCTTTTAAACAAGTCCAATCTGACTAATGTAATTCGAAACTGTAATATGAGGTGCTCTGAAAGACTCAATATATGCAACAGTAAAGATAAATATTGCATCTTTCCAAAAGTGTCGTGGACTATCTCCTAACACTGACCCCTTTGTAAAACAGAAAAGTCAAAAGAAATGAACAGCTAACAGATTATCCATTTTTTAAGATGACAGCGGATACTGTAACTGGCTGGTTTGAGAGGATCTATATTCCAAAACAGGCTTGCCCTTCTGCAGCTGGACAGTTTGCATAGCCAGCTGGAACTCTCTCCAGTGAGCTTCAGGCTTGGAGAATCTGGAGCTCAGCCAGTTTCCTTCATCAGTGCTGGCTGCCCTCTGGCAAGCCAGCTGTAATCTTCCTCTTCCGGAAAACTCCCAGGCAAGATTGCCAGGAGCTCTTTGCTGTGCTCTGATTTTGGGGAGCACTAGGAAGTGTGAAGAGTGTTATCATTATCACTACAAAAAAAGTCAATACTTACAAACAATTACTAGCGTGATATGAGATGATGTTGGGTTGTCTGCTTGGCACATGAGCTGATGGCTGTTGTGGAATATAGGATTTTTTTATTCAGTATCTCCTATTATCTGATGCTGCTTTTGTCTGTACAGAACTAATCTGAGGGACATTAAAAAGTGTTTGGTTAATGTAATGTTTGGTTCTATTAATCGGTTTTGTTACTGATAAATTGAAAACAAATACAGAAACCAAGTTCTACAGTAAAGCCGACAAATTTTCATTTCTTATGCATTCATTCTCCATGAAATATTTTCTACAAGTATTAAGCATAATTTTGCTCCAGTTTGCCACCTTATGAAAATAGAAATGCCATCTCACGTTCCTAGTAAGATTAAAATTTATTCCTAGAATTATCAGCACCTCACAGACTGAAAATTTCCTTTGCCCATTAGACCCATTTCCTCAATGCAGTTGTCAATTCCCTCATGTTGCATATGTACATTGAATGACAAAGCAGCTCTTCACACTGTTAGTCTCTACTCCCATTAATGTCACAATTGCTTGCTTTGTGTACACACAGGCACATTGGAGAGAGAACATATGTGAATGTTAAGACCAGTCTTACAAGAATTTGCATTTATTCCATTCAGAAAATATTCCAGAAGAGCTACAATCATAAGAGAAAATCTCCATGAACTTCTCTTTGTTTGACATCAGTGTTTCTCACAGGTGAATGTAGCCTGCCTAGCAGTCACAGGAGTGTTCAGAGCGAGTTGCAAAACACTGGCAAAGGTAGTGCTAGCTAGCAGTGGCTTTGCCTTAGTATTGTGACACGAGAGCAGACTAGATGTACCAGCCACAAGCATTTATACCTGTAAGGAACCTGCTAGCTGCTGCCAGAAATTTGCTTTCTGCAGGTCAGAGAATAATTTGTACACCTACTGCCTGTAATCAAAACCAATTCCTTTTCCCCTACCTTGAAGAATGAATGCTGTTGTCAATTCATTCTTACAAGATGTAGACAAGTAGGAGCTAAAAAAGTCTAAGGAACACTTTTCTAAACAATAAAACAGTCCAGAAGAGGTGGAGAGAGAACATCTCAGAAAAAAAATTTGCACGGCTGGATGGAAAGCAGTCAAGTTAAGGTGCAAAACATCCACATCTTCTGTGTATTACAAAAGCTGAAGCAGGGTGTCTAAAAACCAAATCAGATGTTCTTACACCTTAAAACTATGCTCACAAAAGACTGGTAAAATTGTATTAATTTCACTTTAAATTTAGCAATTTAATTGTCAGAAGGTGCAAGGTTCAAAAGACCACATTTTCAAACTGTGTACTGCCACTTTTAGATTAAAAATAATGAATATTCTCCCTCCACGCCTCCTAAAACCTATTTCCTTTACAGAGCCCATAAATTCAAGGATAGAAGGTGTTACATCATCATACCTGCATTTCTGAGTCTAGATAATATTCACTGTTCCAGCTTGACACACTTTCTGAAACTTGTTCATTTAATTTTGAAACCTAAATCAAGTACTTTGCTCACCCATACATAGAAACTACAGACCAAAATTCTCACATCTTTGTTTAGAAGGATGATAATGCCTGTAAGAACTCAGAGCCTTGTTAAAAACTCGAACTGTGTTTTAATTACAAGTGTGCACACCTTCACAAGATCTTATGCAGCAATAAGATAAACTCATCATCCACACTATAACTGAATTTGCTGTTGCCCTATTGGTAATGCTTCTGCAATTAATGAATCTTATCATGTAACACTCCAGTCTGCGCAGCAAGTTTCAGTAAAAGAAAGTACAGAAAACATATTGATATAAAATTTTATAACTACATATAGAATAGTTAAAAATGAGCTAGTGAATTTTAACGTACTAAAGGAAGCAAAGAAACATACCTAAAAATTATACTCTAGCCTATAAGTCTTCTGTTCTAAACTGGTAATTAATTCAAATTCCACTGTGATCATATAACATCCACATTTCAGGAAAAAAGGCCAAAAACATAGGCTTCTCTTAAATTTAAGACATGTTAATAATGTAATTTAAATTAATGGCTCAGCACGTACGTAAACAACCATAAAATGAACTAACAGCATGTCATAGATTATTATATAAAAAGTATTTCCCAAACAAATTGAAATAACAACATTAAAAACTGCTATTTAGTCTGTATGTTACAGTACCTACCAGTTGAGAACTCTGATTTGACTGTACCACCTTAACCTGAGGAGGCTGCACTGTATTTGATACAGAGACTGTGCAAATGTTGTTTGGTTGCCTTATTCCTATTGTCTGCGTTGTGACAATGGAGGAAATACTTCCAGAGGCAGATTGAGGTATAACTTGTGATAGCTTGGTTTGTTGAAGCGACTGCTGAGACGGCTGTCCTTGCAAAACTGAATGTTGACTATTCAGTAAAGATTGTCTCAATGCAGGTAGACTTTTCTAAAAACAGAAAGAAAGTTTATGAAATACCAAATTTACCAGATTGCCTAAAATAAAGTCTTCTGAAATTTGCTGTAAACCTAACTAAAAGATTACATCTTTTTTCCCCAATTGTACAATCTACTTTTTCGTGAAAAACACAAACACATAAGACGGAAAGATCAGTTTATAATTTCAGTAAGCTTTCAATTTATATTTAGTAACTGCAGATTCTGACATGCCCCAATTCCACCATTATGGTAAAATATAATCCTCCTTCCCAAGTCAAGACCATCTAGAACTTGTAGCTTAGCTCTCTGGAAGGGCGAAAAAATGGGAAGAGAAAAGATGCAACAGTAGCAGCAACCTACTTAATGCTAGAAGTAAGCTGCACCTATTTACTTCTCCTGACATGCCTCCAGTACCTAGAACAAGATGATTTAACTGTTGATGCCCTACAGCAATAGTTGTTTACTGTATTACTACTGATCTAATGTATTCTGACTGCATTAGAAAAGCGTACTATTGTGTGCTTCATGTTCAGACCAGTTCAACCAAAAAACACAGCTCCAAAAGGCTATACCCTACCTTCACAAATAAACTTTTTACTTTTTAAGTGGCAGTAGTGTTCTTTTGAAGTGCTATCCCCCAGGCAGCTGAGGAACACAAACGTTTAACTCGAGCTATAGCCCTTTCTACATTTCTAATATTTAAAATTTAATGTCTGTTGCCAAGAAAGGACTTCAAAGAAAAGAAAGAGTTAAAACTGGTGTTCAAGCTAGAAGCGGCTAGAGAATAAGAGCAGAAAAAAGAAAAGGGTTAATGATAACTTGAAAAAAACAAAAGCAAGGGCAAAGAGTTCTGAAGAAAAGATGAACAGAGAAAAAAAAAAAAGGAGGAATCTTCTCTAAACTGAGAATTTTTGGATGAGAAGAAAAATGTTTTCAGAACAATCGCTGTGGCTCTGTTAGAGCATAATTACGTTTGTACGTGTCTAATCTTGCATATGGAAGCTATTTTAGGTAATGCAGGAAAAAAAAACAGAAGTTAAATTTACCCCTACGTTTATTACTGCAGGATCAATAAATCTGTTTGGAATCACATTAGAATTTCTATATGAAACGTTGCAGATTACAGGCAGGATCAACTTATCAGTTATTCCCATAGCATTATCCAGTTTTTCATCATTGCAATTACACATTAATTGAAAGTTCTTGATGTCTCAAACTTAGATTACAATAAACAATATGGAGAAAGTCTAATTATCTGAAGCGTTCTATAGACCTTGTAACTCCTCCAGTGGACATGGTGTACTTCACAGAAATGGACTACGCAGAAAGCTTAATGCAAAGAAACACTACAGAATAAACAACATATAATTTCCAAACAAATCAGTAACAACTTTTATGAACAAATCTGATTAATAAATTGTTCTAGTTCAAGGCTACTCAAGCAGTAAGCTCCAGATCAGCTCTAAACCACACATAAATTTTGCTTAAACCTAAACCAAAGTCTCAAACCGGAGATCTGCCTCCTGTAGGAAATCCTGTTTTCTTACCATCCTCTTGACCTGCTGGGTGCAGCTAACTGGAGTACATAGCTAAGGCTCCCAGCCAGGAAGGGAACAAGCAGCACCTGGCTGGCCTGACAGAGGTGGGTACTGCATAAGTTTCAGCTGAGCAGATTTCAGGAAAAGTCCTTGCCACAAAGTAAATATTGAGTATGCTTGCTTTAGACAGGTGAAATTAATTCCACTTAAAAAAACTATTCTCTAAAACTCAAAGCGCTAACATTTCCACTGAAATAAATTTATCTAAACAATATTCACATTACCTTAAGGAAAGGTACAAGATATGGCTGAGGAGATGATTTGAGTTCTGATTGGAGGCGGCCTGTAAATTCTTCTGGATCAATCTTTGCATCCTTGGAGGGGAAAAAAAAGAAAATAATAATAATTTTAAAAAATGTATAAAATCATCAACAATTCAGTTCTGTTGTTTGGTTGTTTTTTCAGATAATGAAACCAAGTTCACGTATGTTAAAATGTCCACACATGGTATACACGTGTATCTACATACACATACACACACAAACACATTTGATTCTTGATTTCTTTTAAAAAATATTAATCCAAAAAGAGGTTGTTGATTTAGACTGACAAGTGATCATAAAATTTGCCAGCTCTTTTAATAAGAAAACAGCTTTACTTGATTCCAAAGGCAGTTCTGAAGGTCCAATTTAAATTAGAATATACATACATGCTTACATAAAGCATATGTACGAGTGTTAAAAGTACACATATATAAAAACATCTGCCTATACTTACATATGTTCATAAAATATAAGCTTATAAAAATATAGATTATATTATATATATATATATTTACTAGTTTACTAAGTAGTAAATACAGGAGAACTGTGTAATGCAGATATATTTTTCAGATACTCCCAGTACAGCCAGGCTGTTAGACTGACAGAGAAAAAGAAACAAACCAATACAACCTCCACTAAATAAATATATTTCTTACGTACGTGCCCATTATTTTAAAATACTCTAAGTAGCTACCTTTATTTAGTTACTGTTTCTTAGTTATCAAAACTTAAAATGAGTTTTTACAGGAACTAGAGAATATTACTGCCTAATTGTTTCTACTCGAAATGTTTTAGGAGTTATTTAAACAATACATATTTCTGCCAATGAATTCAAAGAAATAGGTATCAACTACTTTCAAGTGCAAGTTCTTCAAAGATTGATACCTTTTAAGAAGCTTGACCATTTGTACAACTCCAAAGTAGCACCTGTTTGCAGTGCATTCATGCAACTTTGAAATGTCTGTTGCCCTGAAGACTACTCAAGTTAACCTTTTTTCCAAGCTCACAGGTTCTGTTCAGCCAAAAGACAGCTTTTCTTCTAGAAATTAACTCACAGTTAAGGCTCCACGCAGGGGCATCTACCTTGAGAACTGCTTAGACACTGTAGCTTAGCAAAGTACCTTTCCTACAGTTCTTGAAACTCTCAATCACATTATGCAGATTTCTACATTCATATTGTGGTTAAAACATTAACTGGATTTTTACTTTTTCAGAAAAGATCATGGTTTAGAGGAAAATAAAATGAATCCTCAAGGAAAAAAGGAAAAAAATCTTTTTTTAAAAAAAATTTCCACACAGAGCAAAGAATTAGCTATCAAAACAAGATTATTTTTGATTAATTCATACTAAATATTCTGTTGTATTTCCCCTTCTTTCAGAATATACGAGTGTATGGGAACTGCTGAGTCACGGCCTGAACCTCTGATTGATCGCCTGAGGCGAGCCATGAGTCAGCCAGAGGAGCACAGGTGAAGGCAATTCACTGTGCTGCCGGAAGGGGGGGAGCCTGGCTGCACCCCTCCTGGACCTATTTAAGAGCTGGCTACCAGAGGGGAAGGATCTCTTCTGGTGTTTTGTAGGTGAGCCCAGCATAAGAGTAAGCTTTCCATTTATTCTCTTTTGTTATCATTGTCCACTTTGCCTAACTCTCTTGATTATATTGTGATTGTAACATCTTTATATCCATTGATTATACAACGAGAAAGCCCACTTTATCAGATTTTTGAAATACACTGAATAACAGAAAATCTGCATTTTGATGCGGCCCAACTCCTTTCCCTGTATTATAGCAACAGTTTTCAGCATGTTACTCATGCATGAATGATGAGTTTAATGAGGAATTAACATTTGGGAATGGTAACTAAATACTTACTAACAAATCCTGAACCAGAGCTTTCACATTGCGGGATGTTTCTGGAGAAGGTGAATTATGAGAAGCAAGTTTTATAAGAGTAGCTAAAAAGTTTTTGCATTTTTTCACATTCTCTTGCATCTCCTGCAAAAGCCAAAGAAAACAAAAATCAGACACATGCTATTTTTCAAGAATTATCACTGTACATTCCAATTACTATAAATAGAGAAAATGATTAAATTGTTCTAATTCAAGCAGGAGATACTGCACGTACAACAGCTGTTATTTTTGCCAGTGTTGTTAGTTACCTGACATTTTCTTCATGTCTTATTTAACTGAACATCATACTTCATAATGACTAACAGAAGTCAGAGAAGGAAATCATAAACATCTTACCTTTTGATTTGATAGAAATAAGTATAAATGCAAGAACTAATGTAACAATTTGTTGGAGATACATTCTCCTTTGGAATGCACAATGTACAGCATTCCTTAAGTTATCTTAATTTGTTGAATTATTGATTCAGTGTTTTTGTACAAAGCAGCTACATCAATAAAACCAAATTAGAAATCATTCAAATTCTATCATACGCAATGTTTTTCATCAGCATAAGATCTGATGCTCTTATTTTTCAATATATTTTTATATACCGTAATTTGGTCCCAAAACTTTGGGAACCAGAAACAATACACTTCAGCTTAACCACAGATTTCCACTTATTTACAAATTGTACAATCAATGAATGTACAGATGTTATAGTTATGAGGCATACCAGAGAGCTTGCCTACATAATTATTACACAAAAGCAGAAAACAAAGGACGCTCACCCATACTCTGGGCTCACTTGTGAAAATCCAGCAGAGTGGATCTCCAGAAGAGATCCTTCCCCCCTGGCACTCCTCTCTTAAATGGGTCTAGGAGAGGTAGAGCCAGGCTCCATCCATTCCAGCAGCACAGGTGAATTGCCTTCACCTGTGCTCCTGTGGCTGACTCATTGCTCGCATCAGGTGATCAATCAGAGGTTCAGGCCGTGATTCAGCAGTTCCCATACACGAATATATGGTAAGATGGAGAAAACTAACCACAGCTGCTCACCCTTTTCAGAATTTGTATTCCACTTAGTTAAAATGAGTGGTGTTTTGTAACATAACTGTTTCATTACGGGAAGTAGGCTTGCATGGAATTTTCCACTTCTGAATAGATCCAAGTAGTTCATAAAATACTAAGAAAACCAAGTGACTAATATTTTAATACTTACCTGTGATACAACTGTAGTTCCAGGTACAGGAGAGCTTGGTATGACTTGGGGCTGTGCTGGCACTTGTGCTGTTGTATGAGGTGGAAGTGGGAGCCGAGGCTGACTCTGGTTTTGTGCTGCAGATTGAGTTTGTCCACCAGTAATTACTGCAGGCTGTTGAGATGTTGGTGTTCCCGTTGATACTGTAGTCTTGAACAAATTTTGAGCATTTGTTGTACCTACTGATACCTATGAGTATTTTAGGTTGGAAAACAGGTCATTCTTTTAAATCTTTCACCCAACCACAAAGTTCTTAGAAGTCTGACCAAAAAATGTATTTCCTTTCAAATACACCTTTACTGACAAAATAAAAATGTTAACTTCATTATAACTCTAATTTTGTTACCATTTAACCACACTGAAGTCAATCTCATCTAAATTTCTTTTTATTACAAAAATCAATGTACAACTAAAAATGAGTTTTTATTACCCAGTCCTTTAAGATGATTGTTCTGATGTTACTTCTTCACCTCAACTTTTTGTAGATTTGTCCCTTGACACAAACAAGACAATTTCCAACGATCCATTGCCATGTCATCAAGCTTACAATGCTCTACACTACAGTTACAGCTCAGATCCAGATTACACAAATGCATCACCACAGTTTCACAACCTAATTTGAGCACAAGGGCTGCATATGCGCTTTAGCCTTTGCAAACAGAACTGTCTCTGTAGCTTGGCCGTATGTAAAGATCCTGCTGCACTGTCCTCAATCTTAGAAGGCTGGAAAGCTTATCAGGCTGAACAGAGGACCACATACACACACGCTCAGTCCAGTTCAGCACTGACATGATCTGACTAAATATGCCACCTTTCCCAGTGCCAAGAAGTCTCAAACTGACACACCAAATGGCACTGCAGAAACTAGAGAGCTCAGCCAGGCAGCATAGCATGCTGAGCAGAACCTATTAAAACTTCTTGATCCAACCTACCTGCAGAGTTTTGGCACAGACACAGAACAAGCTGACCCAGGCACATGCACTGCAATACATGGTGTACACTATGGCAGTGGTGTCCACGCAGTCATAGACACCACAGTTCTCGACAGGGGACAAACCTAGTGCTATGAGTCCACCACTGAAACAATACTAAAGAGCCCAACTGATTTTTTTACTTTAAAAAAGAAAAAAAAAAAATTATACTACCCTTTTGTTTTCTATTAGCTAGGAAACAACAAAATAAAATACAGGCTATCATCCAACACCTGCATAAAACAGACAGATGATCGATTCACTACTGATTTTTATGCTTGTGATAAAAATAAACACGTTAACATTTCTCATTAAAATTCACATTAGGAAAACCAAATGATTACAAACAAAACTTCTTATTCCATCTTTTGCTTTTTATATTCTCAGTACTTACTGTGGTATGTGAAAGAATAGAGCCTCCTGGCAGAGTTGCAGCAGCTGTAGCACTAACAGGTGTTGCAGTTGACTGAACAACTTTGGCTTGCACTGGAAGTCCAAGGCGAACAGTAGATGTGGCTACAGAAGTTGGTTGCTAATAAAAGAAAAATTAGCAATTTAATCATTAATTATATGTAATATTTACATGTAATTATTCATCAATACATGAGTTTCTAATTGGCAGGAGCACATATTGGTTCTTTATATACACATTTGCTTTTTCTATGAATTCTTCTGAAGGGAAATTAATACTGGGAAAAGTTTAGACAGAAAAAAAAATATATATTTTCAGGCAAATACCATCAGTCCAGCAACACTGAATATCTATCTTCTGTACTTGGGGGAATAAATAAAGTTTAAAAATCTACCTAATATCTCAGGAAAAAAAATGCAATTTTTTTGTTGTTAATTTCTGTTTTGCTTTGTTTGTTTGGATAGCTCTCAAGATTTTTCTCTCGAGTCTGGATTTCTTCCATGCTAAGGTAGCCTAGAGGCAATAAACAGCATCATCACAAATAGGTAGAATTGTGTGTCTGTGTAGAAGAATTATCATAAATGCTTCTTAGGATTTAAAATGCCGCATTTCTTTTCTCAAGTGTACAAAAGACCACTAGCTTCAATTTCGCTGGTCACATGAAACTATATGCACCTGAAGCATTTATAAATGCTTGCAATTATAAATATGAATCCTGCATATCTTGTTCATTTGCTTATGATCAGTTTCTGAGCTAAAATCCCTATGCTGTCAGCCCCCTTCTTGTCAGTGACTGCTTACAGAAGTGGAGATTTACAAAGAAGGGAGATAACCAGGCAAACTTCTGACATCACTCAGTTCCAAGAAAGATCTGCAGTCAGAACTCTGTAAATACATACATAGCTCAGACTACTCGCTACAGAATTTTCCTCAATTAATAAATGTTCTCAATTCAGCATAAGAATATACTCTAGGAAAAAAAAAATCACATATAATTAAAACACGAAATTTGTATACCATAATAGTGTGTTACCTAAGTTTGCAACATATTCCATACACAATTCTCCATTGTGCCAGACCACATGAGCCAGCTGTGAAATGCTAAGACTAAATGCATCCTATTTTAAAAATCACTAGTGATAATAGCTTTTCATACAAAGTTGCCATAAAATCTATTAATGAGTTGGACTTGAAGAAAAAGCCTTACTACTGCAAAGAAATTAATGCAACTTTTTACAACCATGGTTCCAAATCTCAAATACATTAAAAAGTCAAATGTGAAATGAGTGGATCAGAAACATTAGAATTTCCTTATATTATTTGCAAGCATCATGAAAATTGTATTAAAATGACAATTATAAATTGCCAGAAGACACCATAAGAACTCCCAATACAAACACATCAACAAGATCTAGTAAAATGATCACAAAATTTAGAAGCTATCAGCTGTATTTTCTATTAAGGGAAAACTGTAAATAAAAGTCAAGGGAAATATATGAGGGAAAAAAACCCCCACAAAAATTATCAATGCTGTATAAGAAAATCATAACATAAAAGATTTTGTAATGACATTTAAAGAACAACTGCTATGGTTTGGTACGAGAGTAATTAAATTCCAAAATTACTAACCAAGACCAAGAAAGGGATATATTTTCAAATGTAGGTGTATTACTTTTTTAACAGATGCATCATGTATTTTGTTCTTCCTAAATATATAAATGCAATGTTTTAAAGGCCTTTCCACGGCACCTGTAAATTAACAAGCAAAGAAACCAGGACATGAATGAATACTCCAATACAAATCTCCACAGGGACACTTCAGAATACTTAAGATAGCCTTTCATACGCAGACATGAGTTGGCTCTTTGCACGCAAAGAGGTTAACTGTTCTAAGCAGGGCACAGCGCAGTGCAGATCTGGAAGCATGGCTTTCAAATGGATCTGGCCAGCATGGAGGATGGATGTCCCAAGATTCTTTCTGTCTGCACAAGTCAGTTACTTCACTTCCACAGCAGCAGTCAGTGCACATTGTAATCGTTCTTGGAAGGAGCCAGTGTGGAATTACTCTGGGTACAGCAAATTCACTGCTTAAATAACTTTCTTATGTAGACCTTCTCACCAGCTCTCTGGACACAAAAGTGGCAAGGCAAAGCTTGAGGCATAAACAGGAACAAACTGCTTTGTACCTGCTGTGCACAAGTGAGCCACTGTTATATTTGAAGGAATAATCAAAACGATGCACTTGAAAAAGCAGGCCACATGAATACGGAAAAACTACACTGAAATACACAGGAAATATTTGCCAGTGCTTAGGCAGGACAACACAAACTTTGGGGATTACTTTGTGTATCTGCAGCTCTTCAAAATCAAGGCCATTCAAACTGCCACAGGTTAGTACACTGATGTCAGTAAACCTCTGGAAAAAAGTTGGTGGCATAGTTGTGTTCTGTGCCACCTACTGATGTACACTCAGGGTGCCAGCATTAAGGAACACTGCCAAGGGACACAGGCCTCACCTGACACCACTGCTGGAGTGCATTTAAAAGAAAAAAGAAAGAAAAAGAAGGGAAGAAAGAAAAACACAAAAGGTAAGGAGGGCATGAGGAGAGGCACAGCAAACCAAAGAATCTGGTGGGTAAAATTTTGGCCCTAAGGCTAGACTCTACTTCTACCTGAGTGGCACAGAGTTTGTGCTAGCACACAGATATTCCATTGCATGCAAATACAGATAACCTAATGTGAATTCTCCTATGCCATACACATGAGTGTGCAACTTGGAAAGTAGAGTCAGTGACGTGGTGTGGTCATGGCTACAGCTGGAGACAACGAAGGCAAAACAAACACAAAAAGTTAACCAGTATATTTAATTATTCACTTAATATCTTTATTTTCTACTTATAAAAAGAGGCTAATAGTCCCCTCGACTGTATTGTTGAGAAAGTTATTGTAGGGGTAAGCATTGCAAAAAAAAAACCTGTTTAGTTATTAATACCCACTTCAAAAAGATGCTTAGAAACTGAGCAGCAAATAAGCCTGAAGCAATCCACGGAACAGTTAAGGAAGAAAATATCACATAATTCTTCACAAGGTTGTTGAATGTTTTAAAAATTAAGAAAAATAGTAACGTGATCATGTAGTACAAAGCACGTGCATATGGGAGCCACTACTGCACTGCTCAGGAATTCAGCATTTCCTAATCTTTGCAAGCTTAATTTTAAAGCCTTACTAATGATTGGGAGTGCTATAGGCATGATACTTCAAGAAGTTGAAAAATTGTATGTTAACACTACAAAAGGTAAGCAGTAGAATGTGTGGAAGGAAAATGGTTTTGTGGCTGAAGCACAGCCAAGGTATCAGCATTTCAACCTGCCCTGCTAACACAAATGTCTTTTCCAGAATTCTGTATGAGAGGAACAAGCCTCAAAACTATCTGTACAAAAATACTATGGGATAGCTGATGTGATAATAAAGTTAATGCGCTTCAGGAAACAACAAAGATTTTTCAATTTGCTTACAATTTACTTCAAAGAGGCAAAACAAGCATTTATCAGGGAAACAGGAAGGATATGAAAAACAGAAAAAATAAATACACAAACCAGAAAAAAAATGTCAAAATTGTAAAAGAACAGAAATACAAATACAGGCACAGTGTATCACCAGAACCATCTCGGACTTGAAAGGCTCAGCTTTAGCAAGAAGAGTTTCTCAAACATTAACAATTTCAGAACTTACGATGGTGAAGGCCAAGCTGCTGCTTAATGCTGCTCTTCTCTATATGATGCTCACTTCTTTCTTTTTGCTGTCCAGAAGCACTTTAATTTTGTAACTGACTTCAAATAATTTTAATTGAAAAATTTATGTTTCTCCTTTTTTGGTTATGAAAATTAAACTAATGGGTTCTGAAAACCAGCAAACAAGTATGTGCCACATCAAAAGCATGAAAACCCATCAGCTATACAAATGAAAAGCGTAGATAAACAAAAGAAACTCACCAGAGAAAAACTAGATGGCAGCACCTACTCATTTTTCATAATTTTAGAAGCACAGGCTTCCAAACAAGATATGGAGGCAAAAGTGTAACACAAACTGAATAATAATTGCAAAGTCTTCATCTCTGAAGAATACATATAGGGATGCAAGTAAACCTGTGCTTTTTTGATCTACTTGTAGTAGAAGACTCTATAGCAAACTTTTTTTCTAAGACAACTGAGGTTCCATCAAATAATAGCTCATTCTTCACACGCTGTTTTAACTAAGGTCATACAGCAGGTGCAGTTCTGCCAATGTTAATGATTTAATATGCAGAAAAAAATGATTTTGATCAAAACCAAAAGGAAACTAAAACAAATGTGTAGAAATAAAAAATTCAAAGAAAATTATTCACTGTTAATTCAAACCAACATTCACTATAAATTTATCATCTTGTTAAATGCTTTCTTCAAACAAGCATTATCAGTGAGAAAGTCTTCACTTTCTTTTTTTTCAAGTCTTCACTAAGTGTAACTTCTTAATGCATCAAAAGTTCATAATAATCCTTCATAAGATAAGTTCTTCCTGGTAAAACATGAGGTATTTGAACAAGATAAGGTTCTGCTAGCTACACCTACAAGATGAATTGTATTCCTAAACCAAAAAATGTTTTGTTCTTCTACATCTGAATATTTGGACATATAATTTCCCTATTTTTTTTAAAAAAATGTAGTTAGCTGTAGTTAATATCCCCCTATCCCTCTCACAGTCATCTATAACCTTATCATAGACCTGAACTGAAATTATTTTAATGTACAATTTCAAGCTTTTGTTGAATTCTTACTTAAAGAAGCCACATAGATGCCAATTTAGAAGATCACTGAAATATTACACATATCTTCGTATTACATGTACTTGTCTCCACAACTGCTTTCTCCGTACTATTCTATTATTTTCAAATACTGATTCTTCAGCCTGAATCCATTCCACTACTTCTGACCGCCCTCCAAACGTTGCGCATGCTTTTGTGACTCTCCCATACTCTACAGCCTTTAAGCCCTGCATTAGTTTAATGCAGAACCTCTCCTACAAGGTACTCGCTTATCTAATTTGTCAGTTTGCAGAATTTTAACAGAAATGGAATCAAGGCACTATAATCAAAAGAAGTAACTTAAATAGCCAAGCACCCCAGAGGAAAGAAACACCAAATTTAGGTTTGCAGTGCAACAGTAATTGCAGTAATGGTGTGCCTGGTCTAGCTGATGCTTTTATCTTTGTGCATTTATCACAGACTGCAACTCACTGCACAGTTAAAGAAGAGATTATCGTAGGATGAATGGGAATTCATGTGTCTCAATTTTCCCGAACTTTTCTGTTTGACACGGCAATCACAATGCTTACTTTTCTACCCGGGGAAGAAAATACTCTTACATGGAGATATCTGAGCTCTGAGCCTTCAGCAAGGCAACACATGCTTGTTTTTTAATCAAAGGAAAGAGTTATGCTAAGCTCATATGCTAAATCCTGAGGGAAATTAAACTATGCTTTCTTCTGCTGCTCCTACAGAAAGTTGGCTCTTTCCTCATAGACTGTTCTGGATGGAAGCACAGCTGCTGAAGTCACAGGAATTTTCCCTCACAAACAACAGGGAGAAGATCTATCAAATAATGGTCCTGGGATATAGGAAGGATACCTTGATGCGTTACCAGGCTAAAGAAGTAGCCCAGAGTCTGTATAGCTGTATGTATTGATTAAGTCAATTTGATTTAAGAACACTTAAAACATTTATTTATTTTCCCCACCTTTTTTTTTGAGAGAGAGAGAGAGGAAGGAGATTCACGGAGCTTCAAATTTCACAGACACACTCTGTTAGTTTTGCAGACCATCTTTCTTGTTATTTTTAAAGTTGTTCCTTTTATATTCTGCACCTCTCACTCACAGCACTCAATGAGATGCCAAAGCTAACTACCAGATTTTACCATTTCTTTGTGAGATAATTTAATAACCCTTATTTTACATCTAATTACGTAGCTCCTAGCATACTTCCTTAATATAATTATTTAAAGTGTACATAGAAATTACATCAGTAACACTGAAAACAATTACTGAGCTGGTATTTGACACTGGCTAGAAATGAGTACAAACTAAAGAAAAGCAAACAGGAGCTATGAAGTAGACATTGACTAACACGTTCTTTGTAGTAAGAGCTGGTATCCTAGAAAATGCTTTGAGTACTAACTCACTGGATGAATGCTTTTTCAGTACATACAACTCTGCATTTTAGCACTTCATCCTTTTTCTTGGCTAACCAGAATGACTACTCAAACAACTGACACTTCCAAAAACTTAGCGTAGTATTTATCACTGGACACTACACTACATCATCCTAATACTAGAACTAGCTCCCTCAGATTTTTAGCATCTCTACCACCACACAAACATGCAGTATTCTCAGAGCTTAATATTTACAAAAACCCAGCACGTCAGATTACACTATTTCCACAATCTTAACAGCTTCATATAACTGGAGAACACCTGCCTGAGGCCAATATGATCAACTCCCAACATCTGTTGTGCACACATACAAATTCCAACCTTCTAATAAAGACTGAACACAGGCAGCCAAGCAGAACTGCATTTTTGTCATAAAATTCTATGTACAATAAAGATGTTCTCCTCACATGTTCTCAAATAACAGACTATTTCTTAATGTGTAATTTCCTATGAATGCTTCCACTCTGAATTTTAATTCTGAATGCTACCCACAGCAATTAAAGTTGCACGAAAACTTACAGTATGAAACCAAACCAACTAAACCTAACTCATTTTAACAGACTGAGGTCATATTCTTGGTGCAGTCCCACCCCATGATCTGTTATGCATTTATGCTATACACTCATCTCAGAATCCGTTGCTAGAGTGTGTGCTGTATGTTCTTTCGTAGTCAGTAATAAAGAAGTAATGCATTTATTTTAAAAGCAAACAAACAAAACAAGAAAGCAAACAACCAATAACGGACACACAAACTAAATAATGAACATTGTCCAGATTTCTCTTTGTGTCAAATCAGTAAAAAAAAAAAAAAACAAACAAAAAAACACCTGGAAATCAATATAGGCTTGTCACTGTGTTTATTCCTGACATCTCATATTTATCTCTGAAGGATTTTTACAAATCTTCTTAGCCTTCCAGATCTCACAAATTTAGATATTAACCAGCTGCCCTTTCTGCAGAGTTCTTTTACAATATTCCATCTAATACTGTGCTTATCTTTTTTCTGGCAGCACAAAGTTTTTCAAATGTTTCCAGGCTTTTATCTCTTCTTGAGATACATTCTGTTGAGCTACACAATATTCCTATTACATTCATATCTAAAACTTGCATTTTACCTGGCTACTCTATGGTTTAGATTGCCTCATTTTCAATTATGCAATTCTATTCTGACTTCCTTCTCTTCTGAAAAATTTACCACTGCTTTTAGTTTTTAACTAAACAATTTCTTAAACTACAAACATGATGTAAAACACAAAGCATATAATGGGACAGCAATCAAATATGAATATACATATTTAAGATATTTCAAGCAAGATACACAACAATCAATCAAAAATTCTAAGGGCATATTTTTCACCTACTTTCAGAGTTATCTCTTTTATAAGCAATGAACTTAGGCAAAGCTACCTTTCACTCTGTCTGTAATCATCATAGCACAACAGCCCTATACATCTGAAGATGCTTACCTCTACATTCTAGTAAGACTGGCCATACATAGTCTGAAGCTGAACAACATCCTTACAGAATTTTAAACAAAAAAAAACTTTACAAAGTAATTTAAAATAAATAAATAAACAAATTCCACACTTTCATCCTTGAAAATAAAACAGAAACGAACCAGAGGAATCAAATCTTTCTCCCAGATAAAGTATACTACAAAAACGTAACTACTGTGAATTCTGGCATAGAACACGCTTTGCTTTCTCTTTTCTAATTTCTAGTGATCACATCCATCACTATGCTGGAATATCACAATGACTCAGAGAGGGAACAAAGTCATTTACTAGTCAGTGGCACACATTCCAAACTAATTTCTGTCTAAGATGAGCCCTCTGACCTCCAATGAACTCAAAGCCCAAAAAGGCTCTTGAGCAAACCTGCAATGTAGACTTTTCTGGAAAAAAAAAAAAGAAAAAAAAAATTCAAGCCACTGAAAATGAACTGTATTTGAATAAGTATTTCTTGGTTGTCAATTAAAAAAAAAAAAAGTGTATGCACAGGAAGCACATCTGCCAAAGAACCAATAATGTACAAGACAGAGGAAAACGAAACACACAAAAGCAAGGTGAAATCGAGCCAGACATACCTGAGTTGTTGTTAGGCGAAAAACTGGGCCACTTGTGGGCACTGAAAGTCGAGGCGAAATGCTGGCAGGACCTTGTCCCTGGGTCTGCACTTGAGCCTGCATCTGTGCCTGGGCTAGAGCCTGCTGAGGTACCATCACAAGTTGTCCAGCATCCGTGCGCACCAAGACCATGCCTAGTGAGAATAAAGAATAACACGAATTATAAGGAATCACGTAACTATGAAATATAGAATAAGAACAACAATAGTACTGTCCCTTTTTCTTTATTCTGTACCTTTCTTTTTTACTGGGGTGCAATATGAGATTTTACTTCAATGAAGAAAAGGAACTTCCACCAGCAAACAAAAACTACTCAAGCTAGTTTGAAATTCAAACACCTATAATTTACAGTGACCAAAACAAATGGTAACTTGAGCATACAGGTGTGCAGTGATGCACAGAAGTGTAGCTAAGGTTTGGAGAACAAAACTCGAAAGAAACAGTCACTAGAGTAAACTATAACAACAGTCTACTTGCTGAGAACAACATTCAGTTTGCACATACCAGGGACAATGACATGAGAGCTTTACTAAAACAACAGCGTTAGGGAACGTGTGGATGCAAACATTAAGCCAGGCACATTTCTGAGTATACAGTATTTGAGATCTAGTTAATGTTTGAGCTCTGACACATTAATTTATTCAGCACTTACCATCACTGTACTGGGAGGTTTGGGATGAAGGAAAAATACTATCACACCCACAGGCCCAACACAATTAGAAGCACGGGTGCTTGAGGAAAAATTCCAAGGAATTGTTTTAAATGAACAGAGTACTTTCTGGATGTAAATGAAAATACTTTTATTTTCTCATAATACGCTTCACAAATAAAAGCCCTTCTACACATCCATTCGGTGCCATCCAGACTTGCCCTTACTGTAACTGTCCTGGTTTTCCACTATCAGCAGGTCAAAAAGGAGCTCCCAATGGCTCAGCTGGCCCCTGAATCACCTGGACATTTACACTTATTCCAGGTCACTGCAAGCATGTAATCTGCTTTTTCTAGTTCAGTCAGAATTAAGAAGCCATTCTCCAGATATAATATGTAAAAGAATTTTCAAGTTAGTCTCAGAATACATTCCAATAATCTGACCTAGATGAGAGTAGGATACAGTGTACTATCAAGAAGGAACAGATCTTTCAGGAAAATCTTTCTAGGAAATCTCTTTCACTCTGCTGACAACAGAGCCAGGAGACGTTGTTCCTGAAACTTATCTGTATGTACAGATTTCTTCATATGCATTTTATAACTTTGCAAGGGAAAATAAATAAAGTAAAAACATACACTCACTTGTAAGTATTAGCTTCCCAGAAAAACAAAAAACCTCAGTAAATAGATTTTGAAACATATTGAGCACTATTATATCCAGCAAGTGACCAAATTCAGAAGCAGTCTATACCTTTCTTTCAGTCTCTGACATAGAAACACAGAGCCCAGTCCCATGATGAACACAACTGAACTGCAGCTCCAATAGAAGCCCTCACTTACTGAGTCCTGGATCCTCCCAGCCACCTTCACTACAAAAATCACAAACAGAAAACACATTTCTGCCACTAGGAACTGAAGAGCTGTGGGAATCAAGCTTTAAGGTAAAAAGCATACAGAGCTACTGCGAGGACCTCATCCAAAGGATACGATCACATCTCTCTCACAGCCTGGATGAGTAATTTTTAAAAGAGCTTAGCAGCAACAACAACAACAAATCTTGAAAAGATAACTTTCTAGGAGCATTAGCCCTTCCAGCACCAGACCTAACGGTTTGTAGAAAACCCCATAAGCAGAAGATGTACTCAATATCTGCTGTTCTGGACAAACAAATATTAATAATTGCTCCAATGTGCAGAACGGATACATTCCTGTGAGCATCGTGAACCTAATGCAAAAATCCTTAGAGGATAATGCATACCACACACACAAAAAAAATACACATTCTATTGGCATTACACCAATTCACATCTGTCTTGTTAATTACTTCTTCAACCTTGTAAAATTCAATCTGAATTTAAAAAAAAAAAAGAACAGAATGGACAAATTAATTGCAATGCATGCCACACGGTTTCAATACAATCTGCAGATATAACTACTTCTACAGATGCATACGTGTTCGTGCAGCAATTTTATATTTTCATCCAGCTTTGAGGACTTGAAAATTCTTTCATTTTGCAGCATGCAGGAAGTGGTCAGATTCTCATAATTGAGTTAAACAAGGCAATTAATTTTTCCTTATTGTCAGCCACGAAAGGATCCAACTCATGAGCTGGTATGAAGTGCCAGAACTGGTACTGGTATTGTATGCTAATCAGTATTATTTGCTAAAATAAACTCATTCTAAACTTCTGCATTAGGCAGAATATCACAATAGGAGAGTTTCAATATCATTTAATAATGATGCACAAACTTAAGGAGTAATTAATCAAAAACAACAACGTATTTTCTGAATTACTCTTACCCTTCCAACATGCTATCCTTCTGTTAATGCAAATTTAATGGATTTCAAGCTATCTAGTAACAAAATTAAATTCAAGTGATACATTTTCCACACTATTATTTCCAGAATTGTCTCTAAACCTCTGACAAGATTGCTTTCAAGGACTCTGTTTTCCCCTTCTATTTAAAAACTACATAGCAGAACAAAGGCAATAAACTGCAGAAACTTCATACAAAGTCATGCTACAACTTATCATAGGTATTCACTATTTATCAAGCATATTAAAAATGTGAAGTCAATGGCTAAAGCTAACAATATAATTGGAATATAGTCATGCATTTTTAAACTAACCCCTTACTAGTTTTGAGTTAGTCGGGTCTTCATGAAACCACTGAGCTTTATCCAACTGGGGCATCAAAATTTGGAGCAGGAGTTTCATAAGCTGCAGTCAAATACACAGCTACTAAGAGCTACTAAAGCACACTCAGAAGCACGCTTCTATTGCATTTTGCTCTATTTATCTTGGCTAACAAAAAACAGTTATTAAAAGAAACATGGTGAAAGAAATAAACCATTTCAGATTACATCAGTAACTACAGGTAGTATCACACTGTCAACATAAATAGAAAAAAAATAAAAAAAAGGAAAAAATTAAATGTCAATTCATCTCCTAGATCTGTAACTAACTTAGCAACTTGTTGCAATCTAAGCATGGGAGCACAGCCTGCGACCCTGGGAACGTTTAGGTAAGGCAATACGCTGTGAAGTAGGAGTTACCAGGATGGAGAGGTGCTGCTTTGATTCATCAGCCAAACTTGCATTTTTACAAAACAACACCAAGAAACTAAGAAGGGAACAAGCAGGACACGGGGGCTTCTTCAGGGCTGGAAACAAAATGCAGTGATGGCAAGGCTGTTAGTACCCAGCAAGGAGTGACACCGTCACACACACCAAAAAGAAGAACTTTACATTAAACCAAACTGCTTAGTGGACATGGTCACCCGGTGCCCATCAGAAGGCATTCCCTGCAAACAGAAAACTTTTCTCCACATCAAGAGTACAGCAGACTGCAGAGCACTTCAAGAGAGACGTGATTCCTGGTTAACGCATTCCAGATTGTTCTGCACAGCTGTTTTTACACCGTTACAAAATACTTACCGTGACCATCACTCTCTCAACGAGAGGAAACAAGTACTCGCCAAACAAGAGGCACAACTACTCTGCACCAGCAGCAAAGCACCCTAAGCCAACCACATCCTCGCTCACGCCAACCAGTCGGCCAGGACTCGCTCTCAGACGGGCGCCCGTCCTTTGGCTCGCAACATGCGGAGCAGCGGGAAAACGCCAACTTTGAAAAACCTCCGTCAGAGAAAGGCCGAGCAGAGCCGCGCGCCCGCCCCGCCCGCCCCACTTACCGGGCGGGATGGTGAAGCCCGGCGGCAGCTGGATGGTGGTCTGCTGCGGCGGCCTGACGATCAGCTGCGGGGCCACCAGCCTCGGGGCAGCACCCAGCGCGGGCCGTGGCGACAGCGCCTGCGAAGCGGCAGGGAGGGCAGCGCCCGGCTTGGCGACGCCCGCGGGTTTGGCAGCAGAGCCCGGTCCCGGCGGGGTGGCGGCGGGCGCGGGGCTGGCGGAGTTGCCAAGTGCGTTTACTGCGGGCTGAGGGCCGTGCGCGGGCTTGGGCTGCGCCGCGCCGCCTTCCCTGCCGGCCGGGCTCTGCTGGCCGCTGACTGGCGGCACCGCCGCCGCCCGGCCCCCGGCGCCCTCCCCGTTGGGCGCCGCCTCGCCAGGCAGCGGCGCGGGCTCGGCGGCGTCGGCTCCCTCCGTCGCAGCCCGCCCGCCGCCCTTCGCCCCGCTCCCCTCCACGGCCTCGTCGCGCGGTGGCGTCTCCACGGCGGGCGGGCTGCGGCCGGGGCTGGGGCTGCCCGTGTCCCGGGAGCCGGCGCCGGCGGCCACATGGTTGTTGACAGGCGGGGCGGGCGGGGGCGCGGCGGGCTGCGGCGGGGCCGGGGCGGCGGGGCTGCCGCCGAGCAGAGCCGCTCCATGTGATTGCTGCACACTACTACTGTTTACACTCACTCCCCGCCCCGCCGCCGCCGCCACCGCTACCGCCGTCGCTGCCGCCGGGGGAGACGGGGACGGGAGCGGCCCCGGGGCGGGGGCTCGGCTCTCCGCGGCTCCGGGACGGCCCGCCGCAGCCTCTTCCACCCCGGTAGCGGGGGGGGGCGCGGGGTGCCCCTGCTGCTGCCGGACGGGGCTGCCGCCCCCCGCCAGGCTGCCCTGGCGCTGCTGCTGCTGCGGCTGCTGCGGCTGCTGCGGCTGGGACAGGGCGGAGGTCCTGGGCTGGGGCGCCTCGGCCGAGCCCCGGCCGCCGGCCAGCTGCGATTCCAGGGAGCCCACCAGGTCGCTGACCGCCTTCTCGTCCACCTCCTCGGAGAAGAGCAGCATCTCTTCCAGGGGATCCGAGGCGCCCGCCGCCATCTTGCGCTGAGGTGGGAGCCGGCCGCGCAACGCGCAGGCGCACCGGCCTCTGTCGCGCGCGGGGCACGCTGGGAGGGGCCGCCTTCCTGCTCTCCCCGCCGTGGGGCGGGCGCTCGCAGGGCGCGGGCGGAGTGTCAGGCTTGGCGCTTTCGAGCTTGCTTTTCGGCGCCGGGGAACATTCGCCGAGATGCGCGGGGCTCCCGCTGCTCCTGGCCTGCAGGGCGTGGGCAGGGCCTGGTGTCTTGCCCGGTATGGGCGGAGGGGTACTGCGTGAAGGAGCATCGGGCGGCAGCGCTTCGGCGGTGAGGGGTTTTTAACGCCCGGCAGAGAGCGTTGGGAAAGCCTGCCGAGCCGGCTCGGAGCGCTGTGCGTTTGCACGTTGTGAAATGAAATGTGCGATCGCGCTACCTGGCGTTTGTAAAGCTGCTATAACCGTGTGCTTTGCCTTCAAGTCATTCATTCCTCGTGAAAACAATCCCAGGCAGCAGGTCATTCTTAGCGAGAACTGAAAGCAGACAGGCTGCGAGAAGGGTTCAGCAGCCCAACGCAGGCATTTTTTCCAAGGCGGCAACGTAAGTGCTACTGAAGCTGCTGGAAGTCACGCGGGCAGGCTGTTGTGTCTGCTTTAAAGCTTTTGTGTCCAAAACTCCTGCATTGCACTGCTAGCAGAAGGCTTGTTACCAGAATGCTCTGTGCGTCATCACAGCAGCTGCCCTCACGCTGTTCCCTCAGCATCCCCACTGGAAATTTGATGCTGTTCATTCTGTTTCTAGCGATTTTATCATTGCTTTTCTATATGCGCTTTTTCCATTACTGCTTGCCTCGTGCATTTGGAAATTTCCAAGAGGAAAACGGTAGCTCTAGTCTGTAATTTCTTTGACAAATGACAGAACAGTTTATTTCGCGGGACCTGCAGAGAAAGTGATTTTGCCCACATGTATAATCACTTTCCACGACTCATTACATCTGTTCTCGCACACAAGTGATAACCACCATGTATTTTTCAAGCTGACAGTGGAGAACAGCTTGGATTCCAGTGGCTGTCTGCTGACCTATGATAGCATGGATAGCAAAGTTGGATCAATTTGGTCTGCTACTCAGTGGCCTGAAATGGTGATTCACTTTCTGATTTTTTCAGGTGATTCTTTTTATGATTCTCCCCGAAACTGAAAAATGCATATCAGTGAATAACCTACCTAAGCATAAAGTGAACTTGTAGAGAAGAGTGATGGTCTTACTATACCCACACACACAGCTGATAATCCATTCTCAAGCTCCAAAGCCATACACTATATGATCTGGCTGGAATCACATGGCTAAGCTGCTAATCACTTGTTACCATCCAGGTTACATATTTTTATTCAGGGTAGTTTTTCCAGATTGTACATTCATGCTTTTAGGAACAGGTTTATGATAAATCAAAATAAACTACATCTAAAATGCATTAAGAATATCCAAACAAGATCGTGTTTCTTTAATGAAGGAAGTTCAAATGTCTCCTGAAGTTAAACCAGTGTCCAGTAAAAGAACAGGCAGCATCAAGAGGTGCTCAGGATGTACAAATAGGAAATTGTGCAGTAAGTGCATGTAAAAGCACAGTAGTACACATGAAAAACAGTACTCAGGAAAGAGTACCTAGGAAAAGTACAAATCAAAACTTTGGTTAATAAATGAATGTTGCTTCTATGGAATATTACAGGTGAGATTTGGACTTTGAACAAATGTTTCTATCTGGAAATTTAATTATAGTACTATCACCTTTGCACTTGCACAAAAATAAAGAGTATTAACTTGGGTTTGCAAGACATCAACATCTATCCAGTATTACTTTGTACAGAGTCCCATGTTTTACTTATTTTTTTAATTAAGAGAAGAGTCCATGCTTTCTGTGCTCACTATGACCTATCCTGCACTTTGTTTGCATACTGCTGTCTCCACAGTTTTTAGAAAAGAATTTCCTGTTAGACACATCCTCCAACTAGTCCTGACTGTGACAAATGTTTCAGCATGCATTTTTCTACTGCACTATGCCATTAAACTGGTGTCTCCATAAAAAGCACCCTAGAGGAAACCTTTATTGCTACGTAACTTCAGAAGATAAAAAGTAAATCTTTCAGCTGGAAGGAGAAAATTACAAGCCATGATTTACACTACAGCTTTCAAAACTTCAAAAATGACCTGCTTTTAATTACAGTCTTAAATACATCTGAGGATGAATAATCTGTAATACATGAAATCATTCATATTTCTTCCCATTCACCCCTTCTTAATTTAGCCATTTTACATACATAAACACGCAGTAAGGAAGTATAATGAATATTTTGTTTAATAAAACACCATCTACTCTGATAGACATCAGACTTTTCACAAGTCAGAAAGCAATAATGTTAAGAATATACATGAACTTGTTGCTGAATCTATCTCTGGGCTTGCACTTCTATGTAAGGAGCATGAGTTTTAGTGAAGTACAGGATCTCTGTGAACTTTTGTATTCATTCTTTGATCATTTAAAAAAAAAGCTTTTTAAAAATATTTACATACTTTTCATCATAGAAAAGTATAGAAAACATTTCTGAACAAATCTGTTGCTCTTTCATCTTCATTACTTTATTCCATACATATTTAGCTCCTAGAAAGTCACAGACCACTGTTCTCACCTCATTATACCTCTTTAAAAAACAATCTTTCCTGAATTATTTTTTTGTTTGAAATAGATATTGGCCAGAAGCAAAGCCACATGGGGATCTGGGGAATGCAGATGTATTTCAGTGTATTCCACTGACTCCCCTCTCTGCTCTTAGATCAGCATCTCCAGTCAGAGGCCAGGTCTTTCCTGAAAACTCTTTCAAAGCTTTCCTTACTCTCCCTTAAGCTCCACCCATATCTGAAGCTCATTAATCTCCTTCATTAAGGAGGCAGGAAAAATGTAATACACTCAACCTGATCCTCTTGATGGCTGTTAGGCACTCCACCTCCTCCAAAAGACATTGTTATTTTGACACAGTGAGCAGCAGCTCCAGGCCATTCTCTAGTGGTCAGCAAGATTCTCTCTTGCCTTGTAAAGTATCACGGGAAAGGTATCTTTATTTTTCTTATCAAACGCTTTAACTTTATCAGTTACAGATACTGATTTCAGCAGTTGCCTTCTACTGACTTTACATGGCCACACACCTCTTGCATCCTCCACAACATCCTCAGAATACATTGAATTGTTGTAATATCTGCAGGGCATTAAGACCTTCCATGACTTCACTGTCAGTTCCACCTTGGCATAAAGTTTCCAGAAGTCTAGTACAGCTCTTATTTACAAACATCTCAGCTCTTCCAGAAAATCTGGGCTTTCTCTTGTGTTTCGAAGCCTTTTCTTGAGAAAAGTGCTTGCTAAACCTCTGTAACGTCGATGTTCCCTTGCTGAAACAAAATCTATTAAGTACCCTTTTCTGTAAGTTCATTTTTACTGCACAATATTACATAAGATGTACACGTTAGGTGTAATCTCAAAATCGTGCGGTTTTTTTCTACTTGCTTATACAAAAAGGCTATTTTCTCGGAAATGATTCCATACTGCAGTTAGGATTTGTGAGTGTGTTGGGATAGTGAGATAGTGAGTGCTGCTTGGCAGGTCTGACCACCAGCACTGCCCACCGAGCACAACAAAGCTGAGTAGTTATTGTTCAGCACTCTGCAGCTCTGTGAATGACTGCATCCTGAATTACTTATTAAGGTGCTTGAAAGCTTAGTATTCAGTGATAGGTGCTTCTCTCTCTCTCTCTAAAAAAAATAAAAATTAAAAAAAACCCACCACAGAAAACAAAACCATATAAATCACTCAACCTGCTTCACACCATGCCTGCTGCTCAGGCAGGGAAAGAGGGGGTTCCAAGCTGCAGGCTCAGACTCCTGGCACTCTGGGCTGGAGGAGCCCCAACACCCACACTCTGAGAAATATCGCACTAATTTACTAAGGCCAGGACTCATACCAAATAAGTTTATTCACAATTGCAATGGCGGGTATCCTGTAAACAGGAGCACACTTGCAGAAGCAATTCCGTATCTTTTATTCCCTACTGTCCAAAACTTGTTCCCTCCCCTGGTTCCTCACAGGCTGTGTACTTCAGGTTCATAACTTACCTGACCCTTGTTACTAGCCATAGTGTGCTCCAGTTAATACATTCATTGACAATGTTTTCCCAATTAGACAGTTTGTATCTGAATACCTAGTTTCATCATTCTCTCTGCAATAGGTTAGTCCCTGCTTTGGGTATATGTAACAGCTGTCCAGGGATTATTTTATCCCCTAGTTTCAATTCAGTATTCTTAAAAAGCGGTGCTATTATTCCAGTCCCCTCTATCCCTGTCACCTATCTTCAGGCACAATTCCAGAGACTTCTTCACGCCACTCTCCCTGGATTCTTTGTTCCTCATCTTCCCAGCCCCTCCCAGTATAGTGCTGTGAAGTCCAGTGCTCACAGAGATACTGCACACGTACGCTTGGGACTTGGAAAAACTGAGTCTGTACTGGTGAGCGCTCTTCTGAGCATGGCATGCCATTACACTTACAGGCTCTCTGATTCCCTGCAATTCTTTTAGTCTCTCGCTTCATCCATCTCTAGCTGTGTCCCTCATGGGACTACAGAATCATGGATCGCAACTCCACACTCACTTTGCACTAATGTCTCAGTGATACTTTGTGCAAGGGTCTCTCCCAACCCCCCAAGCAATACTTCAATTTTCTTACCTTAATCCACACACAGAGATGCCAGGACTAATTTTTGATGATGGTGCCTATAATTCCCTGAGACTTCGCAGAGTCTGCCTTTCAATAGGGCAGCTTCGGTTTTCCATCAGCTGTGCTGGGAAGTCACCCCATCACCTCCAAGAGGAGCATTGAAATCAGCGGGGTGTGCCTCTGCTGGTTACAGTGTGAGATAACCCCAACAAGTGACTGGATCCTGGATGAGCTCCCAGACTGTGAGAAATGTCTCAGTAATCTTCTGAGGCAAGGTCTCATACAAAGTAAGTGTATTCACGATAGCAATGCCAGGCATCCTGTAAGCAGGAATGCACTTGTGGGAGCAATATCATCTTTTATTCGCTACCATCTGGCACTGGTTCCTTCTCCTGGATCCTCACTGCCTGAGTACTTCAGGTTCACAACCTACACAAAGCTTGTTACTAGCCATATACAGGCAGAGTTATATTACCAAACTTTAATTTTTTTTTTTTTTTTTTTTTTTTTTTTTTTTAGGAAATTCATTTGCCATTGATGTTTCACAGCCTTT